TTTTTCTTTTTTTTTTCTTTTTTTATTTTTACCCCCGTATCCTTATTCTCGTTCTGGTCCATTTAAATCTAATTTTTAGTCTGTCAGTAGTAATAGCAATCGTTAGAATCTCATCGCGACTTAACGGTGACCTTTTAGTAGTATGTTAGATGTATATTCTCTCGTGAGGGAGTCACTGGTCCTCCGACACAGATATGGACATACACACACACACACACACACAATACACATAGGAAGAAAACACAGACATACACATATACTTTTACTCTCACACGAAACTATTCCAGCGTTAACTCGTGAAGCGGTTCTTACAGGGCTACAGTGGATCCGACAGACGACGCGTAAACTCGTAATCGGTCGCCTCGTGGCTCTTAATTTTTTCCATTTGAAAATTTATACTTATGTACAGTATCAATTTGAAAAAATAAAAAAAACCTATATCCGATATTACAATTCGGCGACTCGTGTAACAAAGTATTTTATTTTGTTTTTTTTTTTTTCTTTTTTTTTTTTTTTTTTTTTTTTTTTTTGTGTGGAAGTGTCTCCGTTCGCTCCTTTTTCTTTTTCCCTTCTGTTGCTATTGTTTTTCTCTTTCGTTTCTGTTTCTTTTTTATTTTTTAATAACAACCATTGTTACCATTAATAAAAAAAAATATATAGATCGCGAAGGAAGTTTTTCGATCGAACAACAACAACAACAACAACAACAACGACGACGACAACAACAACAACAACAACAACAACAACAACAACAACGACACAACAAGACCGTTCAGAACATTGTCAACAAAAGAGAAGCTGAAGAACATGTACTGGATATTGTGCATTTTATTTTCAGCGGTAGCTGGTGCCACCAAAGGTTGGGATGTCGGAAGTGGTCTGAAATATCAACTAACGACAACAGTTTTGTTCAGGGAATCTGGACCCTCCAAGTTTGCCGGTGACGTTGGCTTTCAATTAACTGCCGAGCTCGATGTGACCGCCGTTTGGAGGGATCCCAACGATCCAGAATCTTTTCTTTTGAATATCGAGGTGATTTTATTTTATATTACATTTTATTTCATTAAATAAATATATATATATGTATATATGACCAAGAGATAGAATACTCATGTCACACTATCAAAGCTTCTATGTGTTATTTCGATTAGGTAGTATCGGCATGCTTAATATATCGTCTCGTACAATTGATTTCAATTGCAAGTGTAAAAACCCCGTTAACGATCTACCGTATGTGCATACATTGTAGAATCCATTTTAAAAATACCGTTATTACGTTCTATTGTCTTTTGGATTCTTTTGTCTTTGGGATTTTTTTTTCTTTTTTATTTGCCTCCCCTCCTCCCTATCTCAATGTACGATCTATAGATCAAATGAAAAAAAAAAAAAGAAAAAAGAAAAGTAATTTATATTTTATTATATAATATATTGTGTGTGCTCAAATTGTGTTGTTCTTTCTGATAATTAAATCTGATAAAAAAATAAAATGAAGTGAAATGATTAAAAAAAAAAGAAGTTTTAACTCGCGTGAACAGTTATTTATATATAAATAATATATATATATATATATAGATACAAATTTGATATACATATGTACGTGTATTTATTAATAAATTTTTCTTTATCGTGTAGCGATAATATTCTGATAATATCGATAACCTTTTTTACATCGCTTATATTTAAATTATACAAACGATTATTAAATTTTTTTTGGATTTCAATCGGGGAGATAAACGTCGATTCGTATTTTTACGTTATCTGTAAGTTATTTAATTTGTGATATTTTTTACATTGATAAAACGTGAATACGAATGCAATTAACAAATTCGACATATATATATATTTGTTTGATTTCTTTCGAATTATAAAACTCTATAACAGACTTCGCGAAAGTTTTAATGTTTGTTAAAAAAAAAAAAAAAAAAAAAAGAACAATAAATAAATAAAAAATTTGAATAAATATTTTATAAATAATAAATTTAAAAATAATTCGATAAATAAAAATTTAATAAATATCTATCTTTTGTTCTTTTCATATACAGATCTCGTCACCGCAATTATTGATTAAATCGCGAAAAGCACCAGAACCAGAGGGTTTCGTAGAACATTCATCAAGAGTGAACGAAATATCTCAAAGGCCCGCTATCGTTTTATGGAAGAATGGTGAAATTAAAGCTGTCTATTTGGACACATCTGAATCGGTATCATCGAAGAATCTGAAACGTGGCTTGGCGAGTATCTTTCAATACAAAACGTTCGACGATGAGATCCGTGAAAAGGATGCATCGGGTCTTTGCACGGTTAATTATGTTTCCTTGGGACCGAAAACCATATTTAAACGTAAATCCAATTGTAAAATCAACACCAACGCTTTACCGCCAAAGAAACAACATCCTAATTCTATACTCGATGTAAAACTTGTCAGTTATCGTAATGTTACATACGAATTGTCGTCGTTTTTATTACCAACGAACATTAAGGAGGAAGAAGAACACCAGTTGACTTTGGTAACCAGACCGGAAGTAGGTAGTATGGTAACGACGAAGAGATTATTAATAGAGATTCCAAGGAATGATGACAAGGTGATAGCATATTTAGATGCAAATACCGTTAAACACGCTGTGGCTCTTCTTCAACCTGGTTATAGAGAAACTGACATCGAACTGGAAATGGAACCTTTTACCTGTCCAGAATCTGGATGTCCAATGGTATATATTTACATATATAAGATACTTTATTACAATTTCTTGTATGCACATGATATATATATTTTTTTTTTTTTTTTTTTGTATATAGAAATAAGTTGGAAAAGAAATTTTGTAATAAAAAAGATTTTAAAACGTAAAAGTGATAAAAAGAAAAAATAATTGATTTTTTTTCAGTTGGAACATATGGTCGAAGATCATCGCGAGTCTTTAAATAATGCGGCTTTGGGAACAACGAAATCCGCATCGGCTTTTTTAAAGCTGTTACCTCTAGTCAAACGAACGACAACCGAACAATTAGTAAAATTATTAAAGAGTCCACGTTATCGACAACTGAAGACACAACTTTTGGATCTTTACGGCTCGACATCGACAACAGCGACACATCAGGCTGCTATGAAGATACTCAGACAAGATGAGATAGGCGATGATACCGAGAGATATCTTTGGGCCTTGTCGATGTCCCCAAATCCGGATGCTGATATAGCCAAAGATATTCTTAGAAGATCGGAGGAGACCATGCAAAATGATAAACTATCGGAAACGTTCGCGTTAACAGCTGCAGCGATTGCACGACATTATGGAACCTCGACTGTGATAGAAAAGGCCAGATTTAGTTTAGAATTAGGTTTAGATAGTTGTACGGGAGAAGAGTGTAAGATAAAGTTTCTACGAGCTCTTAGAAATTTAAAGAGCAAAAAAGCAATACCAATACTTTTAAAATACACCGAAGATAAGAGTTCTGCTACAAGTATTGTAGCTTGGCGTGCATTGGCAGCACTACCGAGTGAATATATAACGTCTGACGTTAAGGAAGCTGCATTTAAGACATTTTATCAGATCGGTAAATCTAAAAGAGACAGCAGTGCTCGTACTCTTGCATTGGATATCATTCTAGAGAGTGGACCGTCCAAGGAGGAACTTCGAGGACTCATCGAATCTTTAGCCAATAATGATCTGGCATACGAGATACGTAAATATTTGAATCAACGTTTTGAACAATTGTCTGAAAAGAATCAAACGTTCGCACGTAATTTGAAAGAGAATTTCAATCAACTACAACGGAAAATTAATAATTATCATGTGTTAGCTCAAAAAGGATTGAGTACGGCTTTTTCACGGAGCTTCTTAAAATCAAAGGGTAGTAATGGATCTCTCGTAACAATACAAGAGATTAATGCAGGATTATTGAAACGTGGTATTGTAAACGTAGTATTAGAAACCGGTGAACACGAGGAAACAATGTTTTCTCTTGGTCTTTTCGCACGCGGTCTTGGTAATTTCGTGTCTTCGAATCAAGATGATAATGCAGATGCCGATGAAGACATACCTACGGCTGGAATGGAAATTGATTTGTTAGGTGTCGGTATTAGACCTTTCGTGTTCTTCTCAGGCCAAGGTGAATTGATGGGACACGTTTGGTCCGGAACAGCATCCGAAAGAACACCAGCTTTCCAAGCGATAACATCTTTGCACAGTCACAGCGAGTTTATACCACTTACAGCTGGTTTTGTTAATGAAATGGATGTTCAAGGTGCCATGAGTTTCGATCTTGCCGGACAAATTCAATTGAGTCTTTGGTCGAGAAATGCTCATTCCTTGGTAGACATGAGTGCCGGTATCGTAATCCAAGGTGGTAGCAAATTGCGTTCAAATTTTGTCCAAAGTATGACAGAATATTCATTGACAATGGAACCGAAATTGGAATTAACAACCGACGTGGATTTTTCTGGTCAAGTCTCCTTATGCATGAGACTCAGTCAACCTGACACATTGATCAAACAACAGATCTATAAGATCGAGAGGATACCAAACAGCAGGCATAGATTACGAAAAACACGAAGAATAAGACTCTTTTCACCTGGCAGATCGTATCTGCTTAACAGAAAAAATAATGAAATGTGTTCTAAAGTGTCTAGCTAAGTAATAATCTATATTTGAAAATTGAAATCGAGACTTTAAAATCGATTATATGCGTTGTCGCACAATAGGATATTTATAAATTTATATGAACAACAAAGAGAGACTTAGAATTATTTGTATTTTGTATATGATCGTATGCGCGCGCGCGTAAGTTAGCCCTAATATTTTTTTCTTTTTTTTTTTTTTCCTTTCATCACTCGCCAAGGATGCTATTTATAAAAGTGACATGTTTGTAGATAAAGGATTAAAATTTTATTAATAAAAAGAATCTGTAAAGTTATAACATTAAACCTTATAAAATATCTGCAAATGATAATGATGCTTTAATCGAGTATAATATGTAGATTTTAGGGGGAGGGAGATGGTGGGGGGGGATGGGAGGGGGAAAAGAAAAGAAAAAAAAAACAAAAGAAAAAAAAAAGAAAAAGAAAAAACGACTTATACGATGATCACCGACAACCACATTCCGCTACCACCATATCTTCGTAACCATACTGATATGTTAAAGTACCAGTTGAATCGAGATAGAGCAAACTCGTGGGTGCCAATCTCGTTGGAACGCAACAGGCTCTTCCGACAGGTTTATTACCATTTATACTTTCGGTACGTTGAAGAGCACCGTGTACGAGGGTTTGAACTATGGCATGTTTCGTCGGACTGAGATGATCACCGAACGGGTAATAACACTTTCCAGCGCATTGATACGCTTCGTATCCCGGCGGTGCCACGACCCAATCGTCATAAGCGATCAAAGCAAAGTCAACATAAAGTGGACGCTTTTTGCAAGAGTTTCTACGCCTTCGTCGAGGACTATCATCCTCCCAACGTATATTTTCCTCGTTATCGTCCTGTTCCAAGGACGTTGAACGACGATACCTCTTCCTTCTCTTTGGTTTCCTATAACTCAACAACAAAATTGGCCCGTCAGCTCTTGGCCTATAAGAGACCCTTCCATGTACATGTAATCTAACGAGATTCCCGTTTCTTTTAGCGACCGCTGATGTTACGTTGAAGGCTCTCCAAGTTTCATCCCTTCTTGACCTTGACATTTTTTCCCGAGTCGTCTTTCTCGAAATCTCATCTATGCTCCTTACTCTAAATATTGTACCCGCGGTACCAAGCAATTCGGCGGTTTCCAATGTTTCCTGTGAATCAACTAACGGTAGAGAAAACTCAACGATCCTTCCTCCATCGGTTACAGGTGCCGATATGTGAATAGGCTGAAGTGCTCTGACAACGTCATGCTCCGGACGTAAATGGTAAAGTCTAAGCATATATCTTGATACCGTGTCACGATACCTTTTACGATTTTTATCATTCGTTCTTCCAGCCGATGTCGAATTGAAGATATGACGATTGATCGATAAAGCCGTTGTAGGCAAACTAAGATCTAATCTTATCGACGCCGTAGCTCTAACACTAGTAGAACGTGGCCACATGAGAAATCCAGTTTTCCATACATAACAAATCCCGAGTATTACAATTATTATTAAACTCCATGAACCAGAAGAACACATGGTAAGAGTTAGTTATCCAAAGGGTTATCCCTAACTAAAGTTCCTTCACTTCTGATCGATGAACCAACACGGCATATGCCGTGTGCCTCTATCACCGAATGCGAGTTTGCACGTGTCCTTCGACGGATGTGTCTGGTACGGATTGAAGAAGGATCGTTCTCCAAATAGCTACCAATAAGAGTGTCTGCCGTTGGTAATTTCTTATCAACCGCAGACCACCACTCGACCGAGCTTACATACAATTTTGTTATACTTCGAATTCTACCCTGCCAACTGTTCGAGAGGAAAATCAAATGCAAGAGAACTTGTCCTGGAAAAGAGAGAGAGAGAGAGAGAGAGAGAGAGAGAAAGAGAAAGAAAGAGATAGAGAAATAGAGAGTCTACGCCTTTGCGCGACAACACATGCAACGGGGCTATTGTCGTTACCGTTTGGGGGTGCTGGAGGGTCGCTCGCGGCACTGTTCATCGATTCGCTGCAGAGTGACGTCAGGACGCGGCGGGTATATACGCAAGCGAAAATCCGCAACGCAACGCAAACCTGTCAGTCGTCGTCGTCGTCGTCGTCGCTGTCGTCTTCGTCGTCGTAGTCGTAGTCGTAGTCATCGTCGTCGTCGTCGTCGTCATAATTTTCTTTCTCGTTGTATTATCATTAAAGAACTATCAAAATCTATAAGAAAATCAAATGTGCACGAGGCCATGCCGTGGCCCTGACCAAAGTTGCATTTTGGCCCGAACTGTTTTCGGTGCCATTATTCGGCAAGAATTCAACGAGTTTCTAGATTTCTTACGATATTTTTCGTGAGAAAGAGAGAGAGAGAGAGAGAGAGAGCGAGAGAGGGAGGGAGAAAGAGAGAGAAAGACGCACACACACACACACACACACACGTAGAGATAGAGAAACCCAGAGAGATATCGTTCGTTAGTGCGGACGCGCAGTTTATTTCAACGTGAATACGAGGAAGATTGTTTTTGTTCCATTGAATACGTACGAGTGAGAACAGTACGATAATCTCTACGTTTCGTCAGTGAGTATATATTATTTGTTGATACTAATAAAAAAAAAAAAAAAAAAAAAAAAAAAAGGAAAAAAGATACGCTCTTTTAAGCAAACTAAGCTGACATATTCTCACGCCTAATAATATCCTGTAAGCGCGTGTTAACACGTGTAGTAAAGTAATCATAAAGCTCGTTAAGTTACTCTTTGTCGTTGAATATTGTGTTCGTGTGTCGTACATTGATCCTTACTTCTCTATATCGTCTATATAACAGTGCCGTTGTTTAGTTTAACTATCGCAAAACCCTATTAGTAGTATTTTATAGACATGGGGTTCGTCCTTTGTTATGCGCACGTAATATTGCGTCGATACCGGACGAAGGAATAAGCTATGAACAATCGTTGTCATCTGATACGTATGTTTGTTTATCATATCATCTTTATTGATCGACGTTCCTTATTATTGTCTATAAACTTGAACGACCTTGATGATGAAAAGAAGAAAAAAAAAAGTGATAATGGCACGTATAAAGAATTATCGTTGTTTTACATTTAAATTATGCACAAAAAAAAAAGGCCGGTCTCTGCTTTCTTTTTTTTTTTTCTTTTTTTTTTTTTCAAATCTCGATACCCGATATTGCCAATCTAATTAGTTTCAAGTATTCACCTAACGTTTGCACAATTTCTAAGTAAATTTCTTTTTTTCCTTTTTTTTTTTTTTTTTTAAGTATTTTTTGAAGTAATTTCAATTGATGCTGGACAATCAAAAAAAAAAAAAAAATACAGAAAAAAAAATAATACTAATCAATAAAGTTCTCTCTTTAGTTCAAATGATTTTAAATCAAGTGTTACAGTCGAACTTCGAGGATTACATTCCGTATCTGAGCGGTGCCGGAGCTCTCGTAATCACTGGTGTAGCAGCATATTATGCTACAAGACCTAAGCCGGAAAAACCATTGTGGCCACTCGACGCTCAAAGTATTTTACTTCCGGTAAGAAAAGTATAACAAATTATTGTAGACTGAATTATACGATATGTAAATAGTTTTTTTTTTTTTTTGATTACATGTAAATAGATCTTTTACGTGTTTGTACATTCCTAATTTATTGTACATATAGATTTTTCTTTAGATCCAATACCATTCTATCCATCTTTTTTTTCCCCCCTTTTTCTTTATTTTTTCTTTCTTTTGTCTTTTTTTTTTTTTTTGTTTTCTTCTCTTTCCTTATTACTTCAAAAGAGACGATCACAGATACATATATAATATTTATCTCGTTTCTTCAGTAATTCATCGTATATCTCTTCTCATGACTACTATACCTTGACAAACGACTAAAAGATGTTCGGCGAATGTCCAATGTCCAATGTCTAATAAATCAACTGGGTGTCTTATCGCCTTAACAGTAAAATGAGATAATAGAGCGACGGTTAAATTACTTTATTCACTGGATAAATGTATACAACATACGTATATAGGGATGATCCTTGATGATGGTACTGATTTTATTTTTCTTCTTAAAAATGCACAATTTTTATATATTAAATAATAATTTCAATTCACGAAGATATAGATGCACCGTGTCGCCGAGTCGTTCGTCGGAGCAACGACGTTTTTATCAATCTTATCTTGAATAAAAATGTATTGTTTTCTTTCTCTTTCTCTCATTCTCTTTCTCGAGATAAAAGAAAAGTTTGCGATCGAATTGTTATATCAAAAAGTATACCAATCGTAATACTTAAACGTATCTCGTAGATATAGATATCAATCTTCAATGAAATAATAATGATTGATTGATTAATTAATAGGCGGGAAGGAAAATAAAGAAAGAAGAAAACGAAGGTGATGATAATGGTGATGATGATGATGATAATGATGATGATGATGATGATGATGATGATGATAATGATGATGATGATGATGATGATGATTATGATAAAAAAGAAGAAGATGAAAATTAAGAATGGACAATATAGCATCAACAGATCGGTACTTCCGATCGAGACGATGATCCAAGTCCGGTGTTTTGTCGAGAATGACTCTCTCTCTCTCTCTCTCTCTCTCTCTCTCTCTCTCTCTCTCTCTCTCTCTTTCTATCTATCTCTTTCTGTCTGTCTCTTTCTCTCTCCCTTTCTACATCAACGAGACACTATATTTAAATATAGTCGAGAGTAGTTTGCGGATAGAGAATAGGCCGTGCGCGCTTCGTGGCACGAAGTATGAGAGAGTCAAAACGTTGAAAACTAGAGTACTCTACTCGTCTTAGTTAGCGAGTTAAGTCGGTAGAAGTTCGGTAGCATCACCTCGTGACAAGCTTCTTTAATGCCAAAATTTGGTCTCTCGAAAAAGCAAGTGGAGGAGAATCAGTAACCGCGGGCATATCGGCCCGTACGTCTCGTCTCAATCCGACGACTCGTTTGGCTCATTCCTGTTGAATCTCAACGATCAAACGAATTACTGACTCGTTTGCTTATTATTTAAAATTTTATATCTCGAACTTCTTTATTTTCTTTTTTTCTCTTTTTTTTTTTTTTCTTTTTTTTTTTCCAAAATGTATTTCCTTTGAAAGGTTTGCTTAAGATATTGGAATAAGGGATAAGAAAGAACGACGTCGTATCGCGTATCACGGCGTGCGTAAATACGCGTCCGTACACGCATTGCCCAATTAAACATCCGTCCGTGCGCGGTACGAAAAATTATGCCATCCTCGGGCTGGTTTTTTCACGAGCCGATCCGCGCGCCGATCGACCTCAACGAGCAATCTGATACCTTCAAGGTGTAGTGTCTCTTCTCGTTACAGCGTTTTTATATATATATATATCATCTTTTTTTTCTTCCCTTTTCTTCTTATACGCACACATACACACACACACACGCGCGCGCGCGTATATATATATATGTATGTATGTATATTTGTATGTATCACTTTGGCATCTTACTCTGTCTCATTTGAGTGTTAATACAAGATCGCTTTAAATCGGATTTTCTTGAAATAATTCAATTACAAGAGATATTTGGTGAAAATCGAAAAGAAATCAAATCGTTCGATTTTCCATTATAAAATTTCTTTTAAATTCACGAAATCGATAATGTTCTTCTCCACTAGCTGTGCGGTGCTAACCACGCACGGTTGCTAAATTTAGTGTTGCACTTGCCATTTCATTATATAACAAAAACCGGAACACCCAGGGGTCTTGAGAATACTGTCAAGAGAATTCTCTTGGACGTTTTACAGGGTGCCGATTTGATAAGAGTCTCACGATTCTACAAGGACAGCAAGGAGGGCAAGTTCATAAGTTACATTCACGAGGACACCAAGACGCTTTACGAAGGCTTTCGCAGAGGTGCCAAAGAGTCCAGTAAGTTAATAGGATAATGTCAGCGATTAAATTAAATGAGACGCCTCGATTGTTTATTTAAATCTATAAACAACTTTGTGCCGTCGATATCGTTCGTGAGGAAGATCTCTTCGAGTGTTATTAAAATGATCGATCTCTCTCCTCTCTCTCTCTCTCTCTCTCTCTCTCTCTCGTGTCCCACGCGGTTGTGAATGTCGTTTGGCAACGACGGTCGTGCAACAAATCTTGTAAACAAGCGCGAAATGATTCGGATCTTAGTAGCCTTTAACTGCAATACTTTCTATCTTTAATGCAATTCTCTTGTCTCTTATCGTGTCGCAGCCTTTACTTTTTAGTCATATCTTGGAAATAATTTGATGACCTTTACGAAAAGGTTGTCAGTCATCTATTTTCAATCGTTTTTATTTTTACATTGAACAAAATTTAGAAAGATAAATAGTGCGTGTGTGTAAAAAAGAAAAAGAGAAAGGAAGAGAGAGAGAGAGAAAGAGAGAGAGGGAGATTCACGCCCACCAGCACGATATATTGACCACCTGTCGTTCCGAAAACAACATTACATTTTAGTGTCGTCGTATCATGGCCTAGCCGATGATGAAAATCTTATTATTGGCTTTTTTCCTCAACGTATGATTCCCATTGGTAACAAAGATCATAATTGTACGTACACGCCTTTAATGAAACCGTACACTCAAATTCTTGCCAGAACAGATGTTTGTCAGGCAATGCGTCGCGTGACAATTTAAATTCTTGCGTTCCCACAAAGTCTAGCCTCGAACATTTCTCGGGACCTGGCAATTATTCTCTCTTTCTCTCTCTCTCTCTTTCTTTCTTTCTTATTAACTCTATCATCTATGAATCTACGAGTAAGAAGTAATCTTGGCAACCCTTTGTAATGCGCAGACAACGGTCCGTGTCTTGGCTGGCGAGATGGACCTAACAAACCTTACCAATGGATTCACTACAACGAGACTTTACTCAGGGCAAAGAACTTTGGTTCCGGTCTCGTATCCTTGGGATTGGTCCCTGGTCAGCACACATTGGTGGGCTTATACAGTCAAAATTGTCCTGAGTGGATCCTGACGGAACAAGCATGTTACACGTATTCATTAGTTATTGTACCGCTTTACGACACATTAGGACCAGACGCGTGTGCATACATTATCAACCAGGCTGATATCAGTATAGTAGTTTGCGAGGATGATAAGAAATCTAACTTACTTCTCGACAAAGCTCCTAGGTATTTATCAGAATACATAATATATCGTTTTATCATTGCACGAATTATGTATGACAACCTTTTTGTTTTGTTCTCCTGATCCCGCTATTTTTTTTCTTTTTCTTTTTTTTTTTGGCACCCCACTATCGTCCCTTAACAAATTTCCTTCTAACAAAGATCGAATTATATTTGGACAGGTGTTTAAGGAAGTTAATCGTCATTAAAGAAACGAGACCGGCGACGAATCAGAGAGCAAAGAATCGCGGGATTGAACTTTTGAAGTTTGAGGATATCGAACGACTTGGTGCACAGAAGAATCAACCTGAAGTACCACCGAGGGTTACGGATCTTTGTACGATTTGTTATACTTCCGGGACGACGGGCAATCCAAAAGGAGTTATGTTGACGCATCAAAATGTAATGGCAGGCGTATGCGCGGTCCTATTGCAATTGGGTGATCACACACCGACCTGCAAAGATACCATGATTAGCTTCTTACCCCTTGCACATATGTTGGAACGTTGTTGCGAGAATGGTTTATATATGGTTGGGGGATCAGTCGGTTTCTACAGCGGTGATATCAAGAGGTTATCGGACGATATGAAAGCATTAAAACCCACCGTAATGCCGGCTGTACCTAGGCTGTTAAATCGCATGTACGACAAAGTGAGTAGTTGAAGTGGAATTTGTTCTTTTCTTTTCTTTTGTTTTTTGTTCTTTTTTTTTACCTTCTTCTTCTACTTCTGCTTTCTTTCCTTTCCACCCCTTCTGCATCATTTTTTTTTTTTATTCATCAATATATCGGACTAGCTATCCATGATCTTTGGCAATTAGCATCAGGAACGACGTAACGAGGAACGACGTAACGAGGAACAACGTAACCTCGTTCCCAATAAGAGATACCACAAGAATATCTTTAAGACAATATTAAAAATGGATCATTACCGTAGGACGGATACGATTTGTATCATTCTTCCGTCATTTTTCAGTTGGTACTGCGCAATATCTTTCGACGTGCCAATGACAGTTGCAGGGCGTAAAATGTTCGCTCGGCACACACAGGCACGACAGGTGGAAAGAAAATTACGGCATGTCATCCGAGTAACCTTGGAAGTTAGCTTTCATTGAATGGAATTCGTTTATGATAAACCACGAGTTTTGTACGTCTAGTCTCACGCATTAAATATATATATATATATATATATATATATATATATATATATATATAATCAAGGGGTTCATAATAAAACATGAAAACGTATTCTTGCATAATGTTGATACGCGATGATTATTTCCGGTAAATTCGAAGGCCGACACATATCGTCAATTTAGAATAATTCTCTTTACTTTACAAATATTTCAGAAGTCAGTTCTCCGAGTTAATATTTAGATTCTACATGAGATTTTACGTGGGAGAGTTTATATATTTCTAGATTATAAAGATAGTGAATAGAATAATGTTACGTTACAAGTTTCCTCTTCTCGTTTCTCTATGAAAAGAATTTATACGACTACTTTATCGTTCACGATGTATCTATGTATATTTAACTTCACTTATCATTTTCTATTCGTTGTGTTATTTTCGTTTAGAATAAATAAACATTAGATATAACTTATTGATCATATCATAATACTGATAAATATATATTTTCGATCAAAAGGAAAAATTATAAATATCGAAGAAAGTTGATCTTTGAACAAACTAAAAACAACGTGACTTGAACACGGGGTACGAAAAGAGAGGAAATTGAACTTGGCTACGTTTTTGTACGATCTTCATGAGAGACATCGTAAGAGATCCAAAAATCTACATACACCACATACACACACATATACATAGGTGCACGCATATGCATTATTAACCACTCAATCGAGAGTTTTCTAACAGTAAATAAAAACAAATCTATTAGCTTTAGATCTACATTACGAAGGTTGACAAAAAATGATGGCATATTCGCTTTGTTGGACTCATAATCGATAATCGATAGACGCTTCGAAGTCTAGGCCTTCAGGATGACAGCTTCACGTACTTAAGCCATTTAGCAGTCGAATCGATATTGACGTAGAAACGAACGACAGACGTGCCGGTTTCGTCGTTTGCCAAAGAACATACATACATGCATACATAGAAACATAGATAGATATATAGATATGTATAACTTAGAAAGAGTCGGAAGATACACCTCGTGCTTCTTTAAATATAGAATATTCTGACTGATCTACGACAGTTTTACGTTTTAACGTTATATTATTTTTCATCAGGTACAATCGGAACTTCAGAGTTCGTTCTTCAAGAGAATGATATTTAACATTGGGATGCGTTCGAAGGAAAGGGAGATCAAGAAGAGTATAGTGAGGAACAATGGCGTATGGGATAGGCTGGTATTCAAGAAGATTCAAGAGTCTATGGGTGGTAGATTGAGACTTATGTTAGTGGGTTCCGCGCCATTGGCTGGTAATGTCCTCACTTTTACAAGGTGCGCCCTTGGCTGTCTCGTCGTCGAGGGATATGGTCAAACTGAATGTTGCGCACCGATCACTCTCACTATACAGGTTCGAAATACACGTCGATGATCCACCCCCGCCCTCTTCTCCTGCTTTTCCCTCTCTCCCTACGAAGAGTGGGCCCGGTAGGGGGCGGAAAGAAAAAAGAAGGAAAAAAAACAGCAAAAACAAGAACCAACCTGTTCTTACGTAATTACGAAAAGAACAGGCTAGCCGTTGGGAGGGGTGAGGGATGTGTTATATTTCCTTGATGTAACAAAAGAAACCGCGTCTCTTCCCGTTCGGTTCTTCCCTGTTATTTTCAGCAGTTACTGAATCTTTCTTTTTTAACGATACAACGGTAACTTATTAAAATTAAAATAATGAACCACACTTCTTTCGTTGCAAGGAATACCATTAAATTTTGTTCGGACGTTTCGGATTAATTCTTCTTCTTCTTCTTCTTCTTCTTTTTCTTTTTGTTTTCTCTTTGTGTTTTTTTTTCTCTTCTTCTGTCGTCGATTTTTTATTTTTCTCTTTTTTTTCTTTTTTTTTTTTGTCTCTCTTTTATTGGCAAAGTCGTTCTTTAAGTTTTTAACAAGTTTTTAAAAATCTCGCTTCTTCTTCTTTTTTTTTTCGTGTTTCTTCTTCTCTATCGTAGAATCGTAGAATTGTTTTTTTTTTTCTTTTTTATTATTTTTTTCTCATTTTTCTTCTTCATCCTTCTATTTTATTTCTTTTTCCTTTTTGTTAGCAAGGTCGTTCTTTAGATTTTAACATGTTTTGAAAATATCTCTTTGGAACTCGTGATTCTTTCTCTTTCTCCCTCTCTCTCTCTTACTCTCTCTCTCTCTCTCTCTCTCTCTCTTACTTACTCTCTCTCTCTCTCTCTCTCTTTCTCTCTATCTCCCTCTTTCTCTCTTTCTCTCTTACCAACACTGTCAATCTATCCCCTTGAAACATATTTCATTATTGAGATTAGAGATATTCGGCTGAAGTAATTTCAACGAGGCGTGTTTTAATTTTGAAGTAGGCGCTTATGACTCAAACGAGACGGTCAATAAACGCGCCGCAAATAAACCTCTCGTGCACACGTCAACTTTAATACTTGCCACGGGTACGCTCTTTAATCACATTTAAAAAATGAAAAAAGAAAAGAGGAAAAAAAAAAAGAAAGGAAATATATGAAGCACGCGGAAGTAGATATCGCACAAGGATGGTGAACACGATTTTTTTTGTATGCTTCTCGTCATTATTTTTTTTTTTTGTTTTTTTTTTTTTTCTTGAATTATTATTATTATTATCAATC